TATATATATATATATATATATATATATATATATATATATATATATACTACGACAAGATAGAGATGCGTCGTGTCACGTCGATAAAACGTTGATAAATTCGCCTCGTCGGCGATGTGATCGCGATCGCGATCGCGCTCGCGCTCCAAGATAACGGTAGCTGGAGAATAGAAGGCGAGGGGTCGCAATGCGGTGGTACGTTGATCCGAAACGTAGATAGATAGAACCGTAGTTGGCGGTAAGAAAGTCCAGATATACGACGGGGATGGAACGATGCCAAACTGTGTGTGTCCCTCGATCTCGACACACACACATACACACACGGGCGCGCTCGTTCTCGACCAGCGAGTGCCGAGAAAGGAGAAACCAGCTCGAGAGATTGAACAGATCGTTGCTGGATATTTACAGCGGACCGGCCAGTCATCAACTGTCTGCGACTGCTTTGCTGGGGAGTCCGGACGGATCGCGGCATCCGCTCGATGTCTGCGAGTTCACCGAAGAGGACTATCACCATCAGAATTCGAATGGGAACGGCCATTACCAGAACGGCAGGTCCGGCTCTGGTTTGTGGGAATGTCTGATAGGCTGTAGACGTCGCTTGGACCAGCACATGGCGCGAAGACGGGTAAAAAAGAAAAAGAGAAAGAAAAGAAACTTGTGACTTGTTTCTTTCCTTTTCTTTTTATCGCGATCGGCGACCTCCGCGCGCGGCCGTGCGATCCTCGTCACTTCCTCTCCCCTTCTCTCGCTCACGGTCATTGTCGAGAACAACTCGAACGAGATGCACGCGACGCGATGATTGCGAGTCACGCTAGCTGTAAAATCGATCCGTGTTAACCTCGTGTTCTTGCATCCTGCGATCACGCGATTGCGGTATCATCCGTGAGAAGAGAAGAGAAGAGAAGAGGAGGAGGAGGAGGAGGAGGAGGATAACGAGTCACGAAGGGAAAAAGTTTCCGGTTGATCGGGAAAGCGCTTGAAGCTCGTCAAGCGCGTTAAGTTGCGTTACGTTTACGCGTTACCGCGTCATAGTCTGATCGCTTCGCTCCCTCCGAGGTATCGTCGAGGTCGACCGTGCGCTATTTATGTTACACGGGATCGGCGGATCTTAAACCACCGGTGGAGGAAGTTCAAGGCCGAATCGATACGACCTTCTTCCTCGTCGCTTCAGCTTAGCGATGTTACGAACGTCGCACTTGCGAACGCGTGACGCGGCCGATTTCGTTTGCCGCGAGGACCTCCGAACGAATGCCAATTTCCACGCGAGCTTGTTTCGCTTGTTGTTCGCAGGTGGAGCAAGGCTTGAAACTGTACCGCGCTCACAAACAACAGGCTGCCGTTCGCAAATGGAAAGGCGCTTTGAAGAACATCAGACAACGAGAGGATAAATTCGCTCTTCTCGGCTATTTGTATCAAGCTTATATGGATTGGGGCAAGTACAGGTACGTACGTATTCAGAGATCGAACGGAATGATTCCGTGGTTCCCTTTTCAAAACTTTCCCTTCGAAACTTTCAGCCTAAGGCTCGCGTCTCTCTTCTACTTTTTCAAATACTTTTTGAAAATACGTTGTTTAAAGATGTTTCGTTGCGCGTAATTCGAGTCGTGTCGAAACGAAAGAGTGGTCTTGGTGTCAGAATAGATGAAAAAAACTAGGATGGAGGGCAGGACAGAAGAACGAACGAAAGAAACGAAGAAAAGAAAGTGAGAAACGAGACGATCTGTTTCGTCGGAAGGCAGCACCGACTTATCGAGGCTGTTGAATCCTTCTCGCCGTCGTCGCGAAGAGGCCAGAAAGAGAAATGAGCTTAATAGAGAGAGATGGTATTTATTTATTATTGTAAGCAAGAGATGGTTCGAAGATCCTTGACACGCTAACCATTGGTCTCGCGCGAGAGGTAAGATACGTAAGATGGGAGCCGTAATACCAAGCATCCAACCAAAATCTCATGTTAGCTATTGCTTGCGGATGCTCGTTACGCTCATTGTGCATCCACTGAAAGGGCGAAAACAGTGCAGACAAACCAGTCGACCTCGCCACGAATGGGGCTCTCTTGATCTTGATCTTGATTGGAACTCATCGTTCGACATCGCTCGCTTCATTTCACCGACTATTAAGTTAGAAACTAGAAACACTAACATCACGTACAACAATCTAGCGATTGCGATATTCTCATTACATTGCGTGTATTTCCAGAGATAGCATCGATTTCGGGCACAAACAATTGTGCATATCCGAGGAGTTGGATTCGCCGAACATGCGGGCGGAGGCGTACTTGAATCTAGCGAGGGCGCACGAAAGATTGGGCGCGCTCGATAGGGCCTTGGACTATGCCAGACATAGGTATCCATCTCTTTCTCTAAAATGGTATTCGCTCTGTATGTACCATAAGTACCATACACGTTCGAGTTTTGTCGTCATTGCTCGATCATTCGTCGACTCGACATAAGGATATGAACGAGAGATAGATATCATTCTATACGTTGCCTCGCAGCTTGTACAATGAATGCGATCAGTGCGCGACTGCTGGATTGGTTCATCTGACCGTAGGCAGAGTTCACTTGGAGCTAGCAGGATTTTGCAAAGCTCTGGAAGCTTTTCAACGAGCTCACAAGATTGCTCATTCGATTCAAGACCCGTCGTTAGAATTGCAGGTAAG